TAGCACCCCCCTGCACCCCCCCCCCACAAAATCCGTCTATGCTTCATGTATCGATCTGTTCTAAATTTCTTTTATCCTCCAAATTCTAGTGTGGACTACAGGGGTTGAAATTTAAATTTTTTTGTACTACAGCCGGAATAGTAGATTTTTATATATTCCGTCTGAAGATCCACTATCCTTAATGTACTGTTTCTGATTTTCATGAAATCATCCTTGAGACTCCTAAAGTGAACTGAATAATTGAATAACAAAAAATAAACATGTACAGTGCATTGCTCTGTATAGTGATGAACAAATTATTAATAAAAAACAAAGTTCAAACACTGAAATGAACTTGCAAACTTTGTTGCGAAATTTGCGCTCAGTTTCCGAACTTGGAAACGTAATTGGCAAGTTCGCAACGAACTTGGGAACCGCGCGTTGAAAAGTGACTTGAAATCGACAATAATATTGCTGCAAAGAAATTAGAATATGCAAGTACTGCAAGCGGCCAAGAACTTAGCTACAAAGTGGAACAGTGGCTCATTAAGTCCGGTATAAAGTGATTTTTTATAAGATCAGGAAAACCCTTGCTTGTCGATATTTGATTCCACAATTTTTTCTACTATACAAACGGAATACTGTGATCATGAAGTTTACTATTCTGTCATGAATTTTAGTATATTCGGAATAGTGGGAATTTCGACCCCTGGACTATATGCATATATTGCATCACATATTGATCCAGTGTTACCACAATTAATGCAAGGAAAGCTGAACTAAACTAATTAATTTATGTACAAGATAGCTCTATCAGATATAAAAGTCTGCAGGCATTCAGGGTGAAATCCATGACATTTCTACTAAAGGAGGAAAGTTATAGGTGGCGGACAGGGTAGAAAAAGTGCCACGTACATTAAGTGCCTAATTCTGTACACTTGTGAAAATGTTCATAACTACAAACGATCCATTGATGCAATAATTGACGGCAAAGCGCAATTGATTTAAACTGTTAAACAATTTAAATAACAATTTCAATTTAATTGATCACATTTTAATTAAATCACTTTTCTAAGATGCACACTATTTTGGAATAGTTTTCACTTTTGTGAACTCGACTTTTATACTTCCTTTTAGATGTTAACAGTAAAGAAATTGCAAGTCCACAAGAATCTAACTTCAAATCGCGAATGAAAGGAACATTTAACATTGGCAAGCAAGAGGTTTTATTAAAAGATATGAATAAGAAACTTCAAAGAATGCTGGAAGAAACTTTAACAAAAAATATTCAAATGCAAAAGGTATGAACAGTGTGTAATTTAATCAGTCCAAGTTTTTTTGGATTTTGAAAATTGTTTGGGTCTTTCAAGGTACAACCACCCCAGCCCTCCTTGCTTAAAGAATATGTTGACTGATGGATAAAATCACGTCAGACGATAGGTTGGACATAACATACAGGATTGATGTCACTTCAGCTTGGCTAATTTCTTGATGGTCGTGCAACAGTAGACACTTGTCACTGCGCATTGCGCTGTAGATCAGTCGGAACACAACCCAAATTACCAAGCTGGACTTCTATACTTGTGACCAGCTTTTTGCCTCTGCGGCTTTATCTACCATTTGATCATTTTCATTATGATATTCACTTGTGATTTTTGAGTTTACATGTTCTTGAAACTAGATTTGATAATATTTTACACTGGAGAAGTATAAAGAATGCTCCACCATATCACATGTTCAAATTAATCTGTTGGTTTCAACTATATATATTTAGGGACTGGTCATAATTTATCAAGGGGTGGGGAGGTGTAATTCAAAATTTTAAGGAATGATATTTTGTGACCCTGCTTTGCCATAACCCGGAAAAATAATGCCCCCCCCCCCTCTCTCTCTCTTGCTCCTGTCAGTAAAAATGTAACTACCTACTACTAAACTCTGCATTCAATAAATTTTTTAATTGCACTTTAAATTTTCTAATTTTCTAGTTGCACTTTAAATCAAATACTAAAATTTATAAACCAAGACATAGTCATACAATTTTTTTCAATGCAACTCAAACAAAATGTGAGAAGGCATGTATAAAACAATTAATTGAACTAAAACAGCAGACCCCCTCCCCGCCTTCATAAACTGTCTAAAATTTTATGAACCCCCTTTTTCCTGTCTAAAAAATATGTGCCCCCCACCACCACTGTTACCACCTCCCTACCCCTCCTGCTAAATTATGACCAGTCTCTTATATTTAAAAAGTTCAAATTAATAACATGGTAATGGCAATACAGGATGTATAAAAAAAAAGGTAATCGAACTTCAGCCCTCTATTATACGTGAATTACTCGGCGTATGAACAATTGTTTTTTATGTATATTCGGAAAGATCAGGCTTTTAGCTATTGAATAACATGTTTTTCTTGCCAAGTGGAGAAAAAATAAGCATGTACAGTACGAGGCCGATTAAAAATGTTAGTCAAAATCGCAGATTTTCACCTCTGTGCCTAATTAAAACAATGCATAACAAAAGAAAAAGCAAGTAATCACGAACGTGTCTAAGATTTATTCCTACTTAATAATAATTAAGAATAAGTATGCAGTTTAATGAAGTGAAATTCATCAATTTAAGTCCTAAAGGGAGTTCATTTTCAATGGTTTTAGACCCAACTCTCAACGATGAAAATATGCGATTCTGACTAACATTTTTTATCGGATTCGTATTTGCTCATTTTTTATCCATTTGGCATGAAGAAGATATCATTCAACACCTAAAAGCATGGTCTTTCCGACTGTGAAAAAATCACGTTCATCACCCTGTATATTGACTGGTGGATAAAATTATATAAGGCAGTAGGTTGGCCATAACGTACGGGATCGATGTCACTTCAGCTTGGCTTTTCTTGATGGTCGTGCAAAAATAGACACTTGTCACAGACTGCGCATTGCCCTGTAGATCAGTCGAAACTAATTGTTTTGATGAAAGGAAATATTTTCGACAATTTTCAGAATGTTTGGACTAACTTTGAGGCAGTTTTTTAATGTTTTTGAATTTTGGAAAAATTTCCTGTGGTCCCCCCTTTGCTAAGCCTGGGGTTGCTGTTGTCCCCCTCCTTTGCATTTGATCAAACTTTTCCTGTTTCACTTGTAACCGAAAAACCTACCTTTTGTTTCATTTTAGGATATGGACATATTAACAAAAGAGCAAGAGTCAAGCAGGCAAGGACAGTCATCAAATGAATCAGATAAGACGTAATGTAAGTTGTGAAGTTAAATATACTCGGAGTCTGTTTATATGGGACGTGAGGACCAGCTAGCCCTCCTAGGCGGGATCTTGTGACGATGACCGGAAATTATGCAAATGTCGTTACAGACTCTTTGACGTTTTCCGATTTTTTAATATGGCCCAAAGATCTCCCCTGGTAGGGCTCAACTGGAAATTGTCCATTATTAAAGTTTTTATAAAAGCACCTACAGAAATGAGGAAAACCAGTTTCTAGGTGCCGTATCAAACTTTAGCCTTTTCTAATTTAATTTCATAGATGATATAATCAATTTATAATCAATTGCATTTGAATACAAGGTTCATCCGGTCGATCTTTCGTAAAAATAGGTCACATGACCACGGCTCGCTGAAAAAGTGAACCCGTCTCAATATTAGTGAAAGTGCGAGGTTTCAGGTTTCGAGACGAAATATGGAAGAAATGGCATTCGACGACAGTGCAAATTAAGAATTTTTTATGGCCTGGAATAGGTTCAGGGCTATGCTAGTTTCGTCCCCTCAATTTTAACCTACAATTTTTTTCTTTTTGTGAAATTTAGCCCACAATTTTTCATGGAATTGTTGACAACCAAATATTCTTGCATGACGACTTGACATTTACAGTACCGTATATACTGTTAATTCGAACCATGCATTCAATTTAAAATAGAAAATTTTCTCACGGCAATCTACTGGCTGTTTCTACTGCAACCTGAAACTTTCCACTTTGATTAATATTTATAGTAAATCGTTAAAATTTCCTAAGCTATGCAAGCGAGCATAAAAAATTAGCAAATTAATCTTAATTATACCAAATGAATGAAGAATTAACCACAATCATTCAATAAAAGTCTTTGAAATGGAAAATAATTCCAATAACATTTTGTCAATAATTCAAGTACCACGAAAACAGAAAGTCGGAATTCATTCCTTTTGTCCTGTTCTAGTCAAACGTTTCCAAAGTTTTTCGGCATCTTTTTAAACATCTCGAAAAATGGCAAAAAGTAAAGTAAAGCCTTAGTTAATATTTCGTCCATTTTTAACCCATTGTTTTATTGTTGAAAAAAGGTTGAAAAGTACGGGATTATACCTTCCGTATTTCATCCATTTTCAGCACATCTTTTATTGTTGAAAAATGGCCAAAAATAAAACTATTGCCTTGGTATTTCGTTTATTTTTAGCCCATTTTTTATTGTTCAAAAAACGACATAAAGTTCCCGAAACTAAGGCTAATGTCTTAGTATTTTGGTCATGATTAGTCCATTTTTTTTGTTCAAAAAGGGGCCAAAAACTAGCCAAACAGTTTATCAATTAATATTTTGTCAATTTTCAGCCCACCAGTTTTATTGCAACCTTTTTGAAGCTATAGCCTTTGCTTTTCGTCCATTTACTTCCGCTGGAGCGTGTTGGGGAGGGAAGCAGGGTTACAGAGTCTGGCTTCCGTGGTTGTTTTTATTGTTGGAAAACGAGGAAAAGATAGCCAAAAATAATATAAGGCCACTGATGCCTTAATATGTCATCTATTTTTAGCCCATTTTTATTGTTGAAAAAGTGACCAAAATCGGCAAAACCGTAAGGCTATTATAGCCTTAACTTTTCGCCCATTTTTAGCCATTGTTTCATTTTTAAAAACAGTGGCCAAAATTGACAAAAAAAGTAAGCCCATGGCCTTAACTTTTCGGCCATTTGTGAAGCTATAGCCTTTACTTTTCGTCCATTTTCTAGCCGCTTTTTCAATTTTTGAAAAAGAGGCAAATTTTAGCCGATTTTTCAATTTTTGAAAGAGGCAAAAAACAGCAATAAGGTAAGGCTATTGCTATTCAGAGAGCTTTAGCTATAGCTATAGCTATAGAGCTATAGCCTTTACTTTTCGTCCATTTTCAGCGATTTTTTCCATTTTTCATAAAGGGGCAAAAAACAGCAAAAAAGTAAGGCTATAGACTTAACTTTTCGTCCATTTTCAGCGACTCTTTTTCCATTTTTCATAAAGAGGCAAAAAACAGCAAAAAAGTAAGGCTATAGACTTAACTTTTCCTCCATTTTCAGTGACTTTTTCCATTTTTCATAAAGAGGGAAAAAACAGCAAAAAAGTAAG